CATGAATATTTTTGGTAAAAAGTGATATTTTCGACTTCTTGTTAAAAACCGCAAGTCCAACTGCTTTGATATTACATATCTAGGTACTACATGTGGACCTCTCTCGTTTGTTCATTTCGTGATGATATCTTCAATTTGATGATTTTGTTCTTCAATTATCTAATTTTGATGAATATTTTTGATAAAAAGTTGTATTTTGCTTTAATACTATACATATTGTTCATTTTCTGATGATATCTTCAGTTCTTTAATTGAAATGTGCATTGATAACAGCGGATCTATATCAGCCGATAGGCCGATAGTTTTTTTAATGCACAATCCTGGCATCAACCACGCTAGGTCGAACACAAGCACCTGCGGACCTGGACCAAGGTTCCCCCAAAGTCACATTGGTTAGTGAATGAATCTCGGCCAGTGGAATTGACCTTCCCATTGAGTCTGTGGCACACTCACCCAGGGTGGGGGTTGACCCTTTTGATGATCAGCCTAAGGTACGATTTGAATTTGGGTCTACCAATCATGAGTCTGATGCAGCAACCACTATGCTACCAGTGACCAGTTATATTGCTCGGTAACTCAAAATTTGAACTTGAATCTTTTTTTCCATTAACAAGATCAGTTTGTCTTCAAAATAGATTTTGTACTGTAACACTTTATTTTCTTAAAGACAGTGTTATTAATTTTATTCATATTGACATATGATATTAATAGAAAAGATGTTCAGGTAACAAAATTTACTGGGTTGCTTAGTGTTTTCACTGAGTTTGTTTGACAAATATAAAGATTGAACACTGATACTGGTATATGTACTGATACCCATGTTATATATCACATGTATGTCTTGCGATTGTTCATATCAGCACAGTTTATTATCAGTGTTTGAAATTTCTCAGAGCTGTGTACCAGACACCAAGGCAGGTAATGCTGGCATTTCACCAGCTTTGCCAGGGAGTTACCAGTCTGAAGATTAAGATGATTTTAAAAATACTTCTGGGAGCACACCTAATGGCGTGGTAGAAAAACAAGACAGCAACCACAACAGTCTTCATCATGTTAGTATTTATTTGGTTATCACAAACTGAGTATGACAAATACCAAGCTGAGTTTTGTTTCCTATGACGGCACAAGTTTTCATTTTGTTTTTGTTGAGTTTACTAATTTTCTATGTGTGTTTTCTCTGTTTATTTTTCACAATTGAACATAGAAAAAACAACTCAATTTTCTATTTTCCCATTTCAAATTTATGCCTTTATTGTTTCACCCTTTGGAGGTGAAAGGTAATTAACTTAAACCTCATCCAATAATATTATTTAGTAAAATTGTATTATAAAACTTTTAATTGAAGTAGATTACCATATTGAAAAAAATGGTACAAGAATACCAAGTATGTAAGTTTCTAATTTTTACTAGCTCAGTCTCTGCCATATGAATGGGCAGTAATTTAAAAAAAAAATTTATTTTAAAAGTTTATGATGCTTACAAATTGTTTTCAGTTTAGATGTTCATACTCATCACTTGGCAGTAGAGGAGTATATACTTCTATGGTTGCTACAGAGTGTGCAGTATAGGTACAATATAGTAAAAGAATTATGTCCAGTCATGTGAGGTAATTTGTTACATGATTTTATATGAGCTATATTTTGCACATTGTATTATCTTATTAATTTTGGACTAAATAGATTTAATTTCCTATTGGTCCAGGTTTGGAAATTCAATTATGTGAGTTTTGTTTGTCATTGTTAAAGAAACATATTTTCCAAGATAGCTTTGAATTGTGTATGTTATCCAGTTCTAATGTGACTGCGCCCTCTAGTCACCTACATCAGTACTTTTGTTTATAGGTTGATATGCCAATAATATTGTTTTACAATTTATGGATATAAGTATATCGGAACCTAATTCATAAGTATCAGGGATACCATGACAGTTAACTTGAGCTACACTGAAGCTATAATATATACCAGATAATCTATTTGCTGCTCTCTACAGGTGATGTTTTCTACTCAGTACACATGCATTACAAATTATATCATTCCAGCTCATAATAGCAACCATGTTTAAATTCTATAGTTGACTGTGATAGCAGTTTTGGCATCTATCGTCTATTGGTTCATTTTCAAAGTTAAAAAAACCCTTTTTTACTGATTATGGAAGTTTGATACAGTTTCGCCTTTTGCAATGAGTGCACAGATTCAGTCAGTTTTAATCTTGGTTTGTACAAGTGTATATCAATTTGTAAAAATTGCATTTTATATCTCAGATATATTTTATTATTTGAGAATTTGTTTTCTTCTAATTGAGTATAACACCATGTCTGTTGTTATTTGGTTATAGCTAGAAAACAAACGCAAATAAACACAAAATGAGGGGCAGTCTATAAGCTCACATCATTATGAACGTCCTGTGCAATAAACAGGACATTTGCAGGACCAACTACCACTTTCTATATATAGTGTGCTATATGAGAAATAATTTTAAACATCTGTTCTGTCACCTAAATAGGTGCCATGCATGTACAATGTGTCTTTACACGAAAAGTAATTGTTCACATTGTGATGAAGACAACCTTTTGACGCAGATGCAGGAAGACGCTGGATATTGGATTTAGTGATTCAGTGATATTATATACCAGTGCATGTCCTTTTGTTGCATAGGGTGACATCACTTAATGGTTGAGTGCATTGCCTAGTGTTTGTATTTAGTGACATCACTATAGTGAAAGTGAGAATGCCTGTCGTATGCTTCATAATGTTGCAATAAATAGTTACTGGTAAGGATTAAAATATTGTCACAAATTCCAGATTATTATGGAGAATTGGTAAGCATTGGAACAATAGTGTGTCACCTTTTTGAAATGATCATGAAGAAGAAAAAAGTAGAAAAAATCCATGTAAATAATGAATTTGTGTTTTCATAATTGCTACAAAATAAATCCATGATGAAATGAATCAGGGATGAAGTGAATCAGGGATGAAATGAATTGGGGATGAAATGAATCTGGGATGAAGTGAATCAGGGATGAAATGAATTGGGGATGAAATGAATCAGGGATGAAGTGAATTGGGGATGAAATGAATCAGGGATGAAATGAATCGGGGATGAAATGAATTGGGGATGAAGTGAATCAGGGATGAAATGAATTGGGGATGAAATGAATTGGGGATGAAATGAATTGGGGATGAAATGAATTGGGGATGAAATGAATTGGGGATGAAATGAATTGGGGATAAAATGAATTGGGGATGAAATGAATTGGGGATGAAATGAATTGGGGATGAAATGAATTGGGGATGAAATGAATTGGGGATAAAATGAATTGGGGATGAAATGAATTGGGGATGAAATGAATCAGGGATAAAATGAATTGGGGGTGAAATGAATCGGGGATAAAATGAATTGGGGATAAAATGAATCAGGGATGAAATGAATTGGGGATAAAATGAATTGGGGATGAAATGAATTGGGGATAAAATGAATTGGGGATGAAATGAATCGGGGATGAAATGAATCAGGGGATGAAATGAATTGGGGATAAAATGAATTGGGGATGAAATGAATTGGGGATGAAATGAATCGGGGATGAAATGAATCGGGGATGAAATGAATCAGGGATGAAAGTAGTATCATGACTGG